CAACCTATACAGCTCAGGCATCAAAAGAAGTTGGATAATAATAATACATCCTGAAGTTTCATAATTTATACAGAATAACACAGCCAGTAGTTTTTATTTCATCGCATTGTAAAAATTGCCTTGTTTTCAGAAGAAAATTTTAATATTTCCAGTTCTACCGAATCGATTTTCACGCGAATACAACCATTTTTAATGATCTTTTTTTCCTTTTAAAAAAATGAAGGCCTGTCGGATGTGGCAGTGCGATTAACACTGAGTTGCTTAGCCCCATCAAAACACGAGGCTTCATGGCCGATCACAAGTCTACGGGGCGTATCGAGGCCGATTCGCCCTGCCGTGTGCACGTTCACTAAACTGCCTACTAGATCTACTACCAAAGATTCTCTACACGATCTTTGCTACTACTACTACTACAACTACTACAACATGTACTACTACGAGACAGTACGAGAGACTGCCACTCAGGCAAAGATAGCATAACTTTGACTCAGCCACATTGTGTACACACTTTTCATACACCAAATTTGACCTGCAAGTCCATTCGGAGGATTTAACCTTTTCACTTGACTAAAGTGGGCCAAAATGGTAGCCTGGCTTTTGCCCCTCCATGAAGGAAAAATCTGGCCCTCATTCAAACCATTGGGATTGAGCAAAATTTTGCATATAGTGCTTTGTTCTTATAATTTTCATTATGATTATGATTTTTAAGTTGTACATTGAGACAAAACTGTACTAAATGAGAAAGGTGCACCATTATGACAGTGGAACGAACTCAGTTGCGCGAAAAGGGTATTTGAGCATATGTGGCCTAAATAATGTTAGGTAGGGGGTTGACCTTATTTAGGCCACATATGGCCTAAATAAGCACTCCCAAGAATAAAATGAATCTTTGGACAATTAACTGTCCAAGTTGTATCTCAATCATGAGAAAACTTTTCATTTTTTATCCTTTTTCTTGTTATTTCTGGGACAGCCCTCGACTTCAAGACATCTAGAAAGCTCACAAACAGCAAGAAGCAATGTCAAGACACTTCAATTTGGTGGGTGGTCACTGGAATACATCCTTCAGAAAGACATAGTAATCCTAGTTTTTAAAAAACAGCGCCTGCTAAGTGGCAACCACCTATGGTACGCATATAAAAATGTAAATAATTATGCATTATGTGATGTTGACATTATTATCCTCTCAATTAGTTGAGAACGACAGAATAAACCTAGTTTCCCAATAACAATTCAACTTTATTCATTTATCTATAAGTCTATTTATAAAACAATTATCAGGCAGCAGAACTCACTTTAAAATGATCTAAACAATGTTATTAAGGGTGTACAACATTCTGACTCACGTCACACAAAGGTTTGCAGGTGCAGATATTGTAAGTAGCCGGGTCCCTCTCAACAAGACAGGTCTCTGTGAGACACAAAGTCCTCCGCACAGTGTCAGTGTGTCGTACTGATACCTTCTGTACCGTGAATTCTGCGTAGGATGTCACTGCCTCATCCGTGCTGTAATAGTAACAAAACGATGATAGGATACAAGATCGTAACTATCATAACAAGATGATGACAAGGATAAAGAACAGGACCTGCTCGGGTTTGTTAGGTACCAGGTCCCTTTTTAAAAAAGAACTCATTTAAAGCACAATAACTAGATCATCTATGCATTAATTTCAAGAAAACTTCACATTAATAAAATTTGACCAAGGGGATGACGTACGTAGTCTTAAACAGCCTTATGCACTGCTCACAGTCAAAAGCTCCGTATCATGAACTCTAGCATGGAGATCATCAAGATAGAATGCATCGCTGTTTCAGGCTTTTCCTCTCTACAGCTTTTCTGATGCACCAAGCCCCCTCACCGATGTGAGGTGTCCTTGCCAGTCCAACTGTTTTCCTCTGCTGTCAACTCTTAGGATTCATTCCAGCCTGATTCCTCTCTCTTCAACCAGATCCAGTGAATTGCTTTCTCTACTGTCTCCTGAAGGGAATTTAAAAGTTTGTTACTTTTCTTAGCAGCAAGTCCTGCCACTCTCATCTACTTCTGGACGCTAGTAACTATGAAATCTCAGCAGCCAGCCTCAACTGGAAAGCGAGTTGCTTTCCAACCTGCTTCCTCACTTTTTTCAACAAGCGCCTCATATCGGTTTTCTTTCCACTCATGTACAGCATTGATGTAGTCTTCGTGAGGTACAGTGAGCTCCACCAGATGCACTTCTTTCTCTTTTTCCTCCCATAACACCAAGTCCGGCTTTTTCGTTGTTGGGATGGGGAAGAATCTCTCAAAGCAATTTAAGTCAGCAGCTACCTCCCATGCGCCTCCACGCTTGTTTTTCATGGCTTTCTTTCTGTTGGGTACCTTGCTTCCTTGTGGAACGAACTCAATCTTGGTAAGTCCATGCTTCTGTAGCTTGAGGGCGATGCGAAAAAAATCAACCCTCGCCTTCGAAAATAATTAAGTTTGAAAAATTTCAATCAAAGTTCAGAAAAAGCAAACCTTAACAACTTAAAAATCAACTTTAATGTGTTTTGGTGCAATGTGAACAAATGTGTTTAAAACTTACATCGCTATAGAAAGCATGCCTAAAAAAAGTAAAATATTTTCCATTGAGTTTTTTTTAAAGACAGTCTACGGAAACAACCCACAAACCATTAAACAGATGAAAATCAATGATGAACAGGTCCAAAGAATAGACCCAGAATAAAGCCACAAGTTTATTCAAAATTTCAAGCAGCATATTTGAGCTTGTCTGGAGAACAAAGGTTGACAACTGGTGCATATAATTTATAAAGCCTGAGTTTTATTTACCCATGTCAGTTTTAAAAAGATGCTCTTGAAATGCACAAATACAAGTTGGGGTAAGCGAGGAGGCTTTGAACATTTTTAATGTTTGTCTCCACAGCTCGGTTCAGGGACAATTCAATCCGAAGAAAATAGTTTCAACATTATTGTAAGCCACTTTAGGCAACCCCACTAGCTTCGTGCATCATCACATTTTACCACCATAGTATCATACTTGAGGTACTCCAAAATGTGAGAAACCACCCCACGCTGAGGAAGACATCGGACAAACGAGAGGGAAAATTTGGACAAAGAGGAATAACTTTTTAAATAATAAGTTTTAAAATGTTCAACAATGTTAATCACAATTTTCCATAAAGGCCAATGGCCTTTATAAAGTCAAGGATTCTGTTGGGAACAACGACACAAAACAGATCTTGCACTTTTTCGCATCTAAAACATGTCCTTCGGGTCTCTCCGAAGTCTAGACATTCTGTTAAAATGTGTCTAATGGTAAAATCTGTGTTGCATCCGACACAGAACGGCTTCTCATCTCCCTGAAGGATGTATTGATGTGTCAGGGACGTGTGTCTGATGCGTAATCGAGTAAAAATGACTTTGTCTCTTCTGGAGAGGCCCGAAGGTTTTCGCGGACCCAGTTTGGGCTTAATGTTGAGTAGTTTATTGTTTTCTTGTTTTTTCCCAATGGGTCTCCAACAGACTGCAGGTGTAGTTTTTTACTTTATTTTCTAAGTCAGTCTGAGGGAGAGTGTTCGTTGTTGATCCCATTAGAACGAACAAGGATTCCTTCTACCTAAAAAACATCTCCATACTCCCCTCCGCAGCCGACAAATTGCATTTAACTTTTCATATATCAATCAGCTCACCTGTACTTGCCCAAGCGATGTGTCTGGAACTGGTCAAAGGAGATCGGTTCTTTACGGATCCGAATAGTTACTCCTACAAAGGCAGCACCTGCCTCTGTTATTGCCTTGCATAGTTCTTCTCGCTGTTCCAAAGCGAATAAGTGCTGGAGATACACAAGTATATTAGTCTGTGAAACTGTGTGTCCCATCCATCAGTACTTCTGCAAATTTGTTCACAGCAGGACTGACATCACGGGTGTGAGGTGAAAAAAAATGTCTGTTTCGTTTTAAACTTTAAAAAATCCTGCCTGTCAGTCTTCAGGGCAATTTGTGTTCTGCATTTCAAATAAAAGAAAAGAAACAGAAGCATCAAGGAGAAAATTAACTCATTGTGTCTATGCACATGCAAATACTTTTTTTTTTCTATAAAATAGCCCTGTGCAAAATTATCAATCAACAACCAAAAAAAAACCAGTTTACGATGGCCGAGCAAATCTCTCATCGCCCAATACTTTGTCATAAATTACATATTGGCACCTGATGCTATGGATGAGCGTCATAATTCATTTACCTGTCGATACTGTTAGTCCCTCCAATGAATGAACCGATCATGTAGTGTAGGTCCCTACCACTGTTTATCCAAGCTGACCAGTTGGTAATAACAAATTTTTAGCGGCTGCTTAGGGATGTGGGGATCTATCATAACCTAAGCTTTATTAGATCTAAGAAAGCCTAAGTCATAACCCCATCCATAACTCACACACAAATCAGAAATGAGATGAGCTGTTGCTCTGTGTACCCAGTCCGTAACAACGGACATCAGCATGAACTCGTGACTGAAGTGTCACTTCTTCCCTAAGTACAAGTTAGAAATCACAAAAATAGTTTGCCAAATTAAATAGTAAAATAGGGAGAGATCTACAATGGGGTGGTGTGACAAAAATAAACACAATACAATGTTTTGTGCGTTGAAGAAAGAGTTTACAATTAGAATATAACATAACTTTGGAATTCGGCTTTAAATTTAACTCCCCACATTAATCTAACTATTTTTGAAGCACTGATTATGAAAATGCAATTATTTCCGGGCTTTGACCAACATTTTTGAAAACTTTAGACTAAAACTTTGAAGACGCCGAAGAAATTTCAGAGGAACCGTGCCACACCAATGTGATTACCTCCACAAATCAACAAATGTCATCAGACACCAGATGACTGACGGGCATGAGGTAAAAAAAAACCAAAAAAAACTGGAGTAGTCTCTATTACTTAAGACATACAGTTGGGTTTTTTTACCCTTTACCTGTCAGTTCTCGGGCCCCCTCAGGTTCGGTTTGGTTAACATTTTATGGCACTCGCAACAGCCCAAGGTCATATGAGCACGCAAGACACAAGTTAGTATGGTCCTTGTAGTTTGTAGCACGGCTTAGTCTTACTTCATGACTCTAAGTGTTCTAATATCTAAAATACATAATAAAAATTTAATTATAAAATCAGTCATTTACATTTTTAAAATAAAAAATAGTTGCATTCAAGAGTAGAGGCCAAGGACCTTTGTAAAATCGAGAATACTGTTAAGATGAACGACTTAGAACAAATTCTATAAATTTGTATATTTAAATATTGTTTCCTTTGGGTCTGTAATTGGATGGGTGTGTGTGTGTGGTCTTTGTGAGGTTTGGGTATTGGAATGACAGTGGCGAGACGCCAAGACTCCAGAAAGGAATGCCACCACAACATGTCGTTGTATATGTCTAGTAGGAGTGCAAGTGTGGGTAAATGTCTAATGATCTGGTTGTGGATGTCATCCGGACCCAGGGTTGTATTGCCCAGGTCCGAGATGCAGGATGTTAGTTCATCTTATGTGAAGTCTGCTTTGTGGGTTTTAGTGTTGTTTGAGTGGAAGTTCAGGGGTTGTTGTTCTCTGTTAGTTTTGATGTTTTGGAAGGTGGTGCTGTAATTTGCTTTGGGTGAGTTTTTGGTGAGAGATATAGCTATTGTGTTTGCTAACTTCGACTCAGATCGAACCCTATCGATAGCTAGAACATTTCGTCAAGGCAGTTTGCGTAATCTTTCACTAGGTATGGAGTGTAGTTGACAAAGGGCAAGATGGTATCAACAAATATATTAATACCGACTCGACCAAGTCGGTGAATTGTGGCAAAAGCTACTGACGAATTAGGTTCTTTTTAAGTCTATGATTGACAACTAACGGGCCTTATTTCACATTCGGTACAACTATTGGAAAATATTTTTATCGCGATTTTTCGCATGTCTTAATTTACTTTAAGTGTGTGCCCTTGCTGTGTCTGTCAAGTACCATTCTAAAATCATTGATTAGTTAATCAGTGCAAGGTAGATGATACTTAATTTGTCACTCGAAAAAAAAAAGCAACTCATAAACATGTTCGCCTCAGAAATTCTCTCTTCAAAAAACCAACTCCAGCTCTCTACTTCAATTTGAAACAAATCTCATACATTCTTCCTATATGCAAAACAATGAGTTTGTATACAACAGCCCTCATACAGTGGCTATTCGTGACTGTTGCAAAGACAGCTTACATGACTTGGAGATGGGAGCTCCACGATTGTGATATTACCAGAGAGCAGAAGAGGGCAAGCAATTTTGTGATACGTAATTCTTCGACAAACTTGACGAAATTGCTTTCCCATTACTACAGACAGAATACAGGCAAAAGCTATCTTGACTATCACTTTCAAAGCCTCAGCAGAGGCCTTTATAGAGAGTACCAAAGAAAACGGAAAGAGTCACACAATGTCCCAGACGACTTAAGAGAGATATTAAAAAAGAGCAACCTGCTGTTGTATGTGTCGGAAGGATTAATGTGATGTATGCAAGGTTGGAGAAAGAATCTAACATGAAGCTTGCACAAATCCCAGTGAATGGGACCAGATTATGTTTAGCATGCATGGACTTGAAGCAGATTTATTGTTAGTATGGCGTTGAACGCATCTGCTACACTGTTACATAACATTTAACAAACAGGACCAAATTTGCTGTCTATATTTTTTTAAATTTGGTAACCAAAGTTGTGAAGTGTCACATTTGGCACCAAGGAGAAGGACCATTGATTGCCAATGAAATTTCTTGTGTCAGTAACTTCCTGGAGGAGCCTACTGACAATAAATGCCACGTTCAATATATACAGTGGAAACCTGATATAACAGGGATGGTGGGACCCGAGAAAAAGTCCTGTTACATCAGATCCCTCTTAAATCATAAATGCAAGGGAAGTAAGCATTTGTGGACTAATCCAGCTGTATTGATTCAAAGGTAGTTTCCTTTGCCACAAGTACCCACGAACAGGGGTTTTGGCAGGCCTACACATGACACATTACGCGTGCGTGTAGCTAGACTTCGGCCTAGGGCTAGACCGAAGTGTGCAGCACACCACAGCCCTCTCTCGCTTCACCCGCTGTGCGTGCTAGCAGCGGCCTCCCTCCCCCCCCCTCTCTCTCTCTCTCTCCCTCTCTCTCTCTCTCTCTCTCTCTCTCTCTCTCTCTCTCTCTCTCTCTCTCTCTCTCTCTTCCCTACTTTTTACACATTGTTAACAAGCCTTTGTCCCTGCTATAACCAGCCTTTGTCCCTGCTATAACCGATTGGGCTCCGATGAGGCCCTGTTATTGCCGATAACTTTTAATAGAGACAAAAAGTAGGAAAAAAACGAGAATTTTAATAATCCCTGTCATTACAGGATCCTGTTATTACCGGGCCATTTATATATGGTTTCCACAGAACAGAGAAGGCTGTACTTATCAGACCACAACGCTAACTTGCCAAATGCAATCAGTGACATTTGTACCAGATAGAGCAAAATTGTTGAATACAAATACCTTGAAAAGGAACAAACGTAAATGGAAGTGGACAGCACACACAGTGTAATCGAAAGGTCCCTGAAAAATGGTATGTTCTAATGGTCTATGTGCTCATGGATAATCTTGAACGTTTTTAAGAAAACAAGACAATACCCCCCCCCCAACTCCCTTTGCTTTGATGTTCGATTTCAGGACCATTCAGACCTGGCCGAAACAAAAACGACCACGTTGTCACAAACGTTCGTTGCCTTCGATATACACTGAACAAAAACATCCAGTACAAATTGAACATTAAGATGAATGGCCTTTTTTACCAACTCCATGAAGCCCAAAACAGTCCTGCCCCAGAAGATCCAACCAAATTGAAATAATTACTCTAAAACTTTATAATTACTCTTACATTTATTATGATTTGCTTTTGTCGATAACTCAAACGTCCAAACGACCATTGGCGCTCGTCGAGTAGTGTTGATTAACGTGATCAAACGCCTAGAACCGTCATATTGTCACTTAGGCGGTTGAATTATGCAGATCTTGGTAGGTCTAAACCGCTTATGTCCAGTAACCTATGTAAAAGAGCTTTTTCTTTTTAAAGTTAGTTACAGAGCATCGTCCTACATCATATTATATCATATATCTGAATTTCAGATTCATTGGTACCAGCACAAAGAAATAAAACAGATTTTTGATTCTCCTAAAAAATTTGTCTCTTGGCACTTAGGCAGTTGAATCACGCGGCTAGCGATTTGTTTCAAGTGTGCCCCCCCCC